ACCTACCAGTGCCAGTAAAACGACGAATTTGTGGACATTCTATCGCATTTCTACTCCCTAACTGCCGAAACCTACAGCTACAGCATGGTCGCAACTAAATAAAGTGTCAGTATTTGCTTGAAAATCGTTTTCACTCACACCAGCTTTCCACTTCGCATGGATTTTGCATAATAACCATTAAGGAAATTATACCACCAAGAAGGGCTTATGGCTCATATATTTTTAATAGAGCCTAGAGGATAATTATTTTTGAGTAAATTTTGTTTCGTTTAGTATAATAAGGGGACTGGTAGCTGAATTTCCCCACAATGCTATGAATAGAGCTAACGTTTCCACTTGATTTCTCATACCCTTGCTTCCCCAAAAGGTATCCTCATCCTGACTGCTGTAGACAGCAGTTCCGACCTCGTCTGAAGTGGCTTCATCAGCACCTCCAGCCGGACTCGTACCACAACAGGGGAGCGTGTAAGCTCGACACGCTAACCACTGCGCTACAATGCTACCAGTACCTTTTGGTCATAAAGCATATGGACATTTCGAGGAAGGCATTTTTGCATATCAACTTCTGTAGTGGGATTGTCGATGAAGCAAAGATGAATTTTCTAAAGCAATCGACTTCGTTACTTCGCAATAGAACGAATACATCCCATGCATACAATCGACGGGTAGTATCTAAAGCCTACTTAAAAGCAAACAATTTTGTTTAAGCCTATCTAGCTCAATACCACAATATTCTCAATTCGCCACTATTATATTTCCAATGACAATTGACTCAAAACATCAAACTTTGTTTTATGACTATAGTTAGAGAATAAGTCAAGAATAAAGCCAGAATTTACGCATGCACATCTCGGCCCAAATGAATGCCTAGTGGAAGAAGACTATACAATTAGTATATTGTAATCATATTTGTAATTGCAGTCACACTTTCTGAGTTCGCACAAGAAAGCTCAGCGTTGTGATGTAATAAGGATCATTAAACAGTGATGAGCCAGAACGGTGGTTAAATCCGTCCAATTAATTGGCGCAATCACTATTCGTCTACTAACCTTATTCACACATGAACACGCATACGCACATACACGCACACAGAAATATGCATAGGCAAATAAGTGTTTACTGGCATAGGGCATACACACCTCACAAAAATGGATACGCATGGAGTTAATGTCAAAACCTTAAGAGGCAAGGCGGTGAGTTTTCTGGACTCTTCAGTTCGACTCATATTCAATCTACATGACAATTATGCATTCAACTGTAAAAGTCCGGAAGCACAATCTTCTGTCAAAGGTTCGTCGATGGATGAACCAGTATTCGCTGAAGATATTTTATTCTCCACTCTCATCTTCCAGAAAATCCAGCTGGCAAAAAGACATCCAGACAACGGCAAAATAATAAGGGTGTGCTCTATAAACGTCATAAAAAGACGGATGATCTTCACTAATCCCAATTCCGAATGGGGCAAGTTACACTTCTGTTGTCTCGGCAACAAAATTGTTAAAAGTGGAGATCAGATACGAATAGAAGTGAAGTAAGGGCCTTTGTTGAAAGTATCTTCGTTCGGGTCCATTAACCCTTCAAAAATGAGCCAAAATGGTCTAAATGCCTGGACGGGCATACATTATATTCAGGTGTTAAGCCCATCCGTTCAGACCCCTGAGTCTCATCTGCCTTAATATGGCCTAGTGACAAAAACTGAGCAGAGCATGCAGGCCAAAATAGGACAATGACACATCCTCTCTGACTCTTCATAGCTCTCTGTAGGCAAGAGGTTAGAGCTGCATTCGGCAAATCTGGGCGTGAACTTCTCTTCTCGATGAAGTTTGGCAGGTGATTCTGCGTCACTAAGTGGCGCTGCTGCAGAGACTGCCATGAGCGAAGATTGGTTGCGTAGGTCCCATCAAGTGACTCCCGTGGCAAGGCAACGTCTAAGTCTTTCGGTTAGCCTGGAATGGTGCAGCGCAGCTTATCCGCCTCAACAGGTCTGCGAACGAGCTCTAATGCAAGGCTTGAGTGTCCTCCGAGTTCAGATACAGCAGCATACTTCTTGCGATGTACCGGTCAGTATTTGGGGGATTGCATGCATTTTATAATTTTGCAGGTGCTTGAGGCCACCTACAGAACGCTCCCTTTTGTGTTACACAGAGATCGTAGATAGGGCCAATTAAAAGCCCCGCCCCTTTTTTTAATATCTGAGAAATTCATTTGATAGCTTTTTGCATGATATTTTCTCATAATTTATGCCTGATTGCATATTTATCTACAATTTGTGAAAAAATTGGCTACCTCCTCCAGACAAATCATCTTTTATGAAGGTAATTTAATGAGTAAAAAACCAGCAATTCTTGGCCATAATGATTGAGACCCAAGCCGTTCCAGCATAGAGGAATTGTGAGGTTCAGCTTATGAGGCGCCTTCGCAAAGACCTCAAAAAACAAATAAAAATGACAATATTTTACAGAAACAAAAGAGCGATTTCGCTTTTATGCGGAACCTAGGCTGAAAAGAGGCAAGGTAAAGTGACAAGAAGAGGACGGAAACCGAATGGATGAAATGATTTCTGTATGTCAACAGAAAGCACATTGAAAATAGGCCCGCTCTATTTCATGTATAAAAACCTGTACACATGCCCGAAAATTCCTGCTGTTAGAAAGTTGACTTTAATGTTGCTTCGACACTTTCGGCACTCGAACTATCTGAAATCCCCTTTTTCCGAAAAGCCTTAACCTATCTTTGTATGAGGCTTTCGGGTCCCCATTTTATTAGACCTTCGGAATACTGGAAAAGGAGAAAAACTTTCCAAAACATTTACTAGATTAAATCATGGCTTTTGTTATTCTTTGAGTTAGG